TTTCGACCAACGCAAATAATTTTGAACATTCATCCGTCGGATTTTTTTCTAAACAGTGTAGCTACGGGCGTATTTCCAACTATTTTTGCAGTAGCGAGAAAACTACAAGTTCAAAAAATTTGAAAAAAATATATGTCGCGTAGAATTGCAATAGTAGTTCGTCATAAAAATAATGGGAAACTTCATCTATTCGTTTTGAAATAAATGGTGAAAAACTACTTTTTTTTCAGTTTTTGCGATATAACTCAAAAATGGCGAGTCAAATTTGCTTAAAAAAATTATGGATTAAAGTATATCGATAACCATAAAACATATATTTTTTTTGGAATTTTTGAACACAAGGTTCAGAAAATAGGGGTTGACTTTAAACCTTAAATAACATTTTAACAAATAACACATTTATGAAAACAGTTTAGTAATTTTAAAACTTAGAGTAAAATATTATGAATGTGGCCACCATTATTGTTTACCACTTCTTGAAGTCGTCTGCGCCATAAATTTATAGCCCCATTTATTGCACCCTGTTCAAAATTGTTCCAAACAAACTGCATTCTTTCTTTCAGCTGCTCGATTGTTTCAAATTGTTGTCCATACAAATTTTGTTCGAAAATTCCCCAAATTGAATAATCAACCGGATTTAATTCTGGGCTGTTAGGTGGCCACATTTCTGGCTCAATATAATCCGGGCAATTTTCACTCAAAAACATCCTTGTACTATGGGAAGTGTGCGAGGGAGCACCATCCTGTTGGAAAGTGTAATCGTAACAAACATCTTCAATTTCTGGTAATAGGTGCTGCAAGATTTGTTCTTGATACGTTTCTGAATTGAGTTTTACGCCATCATCAACAAAAATCAGACGAGATTTTCCCAACATGGATACTGCAACAGAGACCATTACACCTTTTGAGAAATGACTTTTTTCCATCAAAAGATGCTCTAAAGGAATTTCTCTCTTATATTGTACGTCAGAATATACCCTATTATTTTGGGTATTTTTAGGTGGCCGTAAATAAAACATTTTTTCATCTGAAAACCATATTTTTCTAATGTCTTCGCGAGAGCGGAATCTTCGTAGTAGCAAATTACATCTTTCCAATCGTTTTTCTCTTACATTGGCCGTAAGTTTTTGACAGTAGACTTTTTTAAATATTTTAAGATGGCAGTCTTCTTTAATGATTCTTCGAACTGACGTACGGGGAATCCTAGTTATTTTTGCGATTTTCCTTGTTCCAACAGATTGGCCAGGTTGCAAATTTCCTAAAACAGCCCTTACTCTACCAATATTTTCTTCCGTTCTCGAGCTTCGATTCCTTCCTCTTCCACGTTTATGTTCAATAGACCCATCGGTTTCCCTTAGATGTCTTAAGAACTTTCCTATCATTCCAATATGCCAATTTTTCTCAGGAAATTCATTTACAATTTTTCTTGCACCATAATTATATTTTTCACGGTAATATTTAATTAATATTCTGTCCTCTTTGCTTAAAAGTGGCATTATAAACTGACTAATTTACTTATTTAGCAGTAAATGACAAACAAATTCCATGGCAACCTGAGCACTCATGGCCTACTAAGTAAAATTGACATAAAAGAAGTGTTAAACAATAATGGTGGCCACATTCATAAACTGTTTTCATAAATGTGTTATTTCTTAAAATGTTATTTAATAAAAAAATTATATTTCGCGAATCCGGTAATTTCGGAAAATTTCCTTTTTACTGAAGTGTTCTGGATAGTTTATCTACCGAAAAAGCATATTAGTACAATTTTAGCTAAGACAGTTTTCATTTGCAACGAGCTCAAATGCACTGTTATATAAACTTTTTTATAAGTCCGACCCTGTACATTATTTTTGCTTTCAAGTTTATAGTCATGTTGAGGACATGTTAGGTTATTAGCCCTGCAAAAAGAAATTAAATCGCCCAAAAACCAAAAAAAATATTTTCAATTAAAAAATGTACTCCTTTATTAGAATAGAGTGTACGAAACTGTAAAAAATATCTCAATATGGCTTCAAACCATAATAATATACTCACAGCTAAGGAGTTTCTAAAAGTTCACTTTGCAAGCATCATGATGAGTAGATCAAGTTCATTAGATATAGACTCAGCCACGACTCTCCGAGTTGGAGGCAATTCGGACATACCTCGAAAAAAACGATTAGTCTAATGTCTTTTGAAGTCAAGGAACATATCAGGTATGATGTATGGGTGAAAAGTCTAGCTCAATCTGACTTTGTTGATTGTCAACGGAAACAGCATTCCACCAAGTAAGTAAGGTACAGGTCACACTGGAAAAAACCGGTGACACAATGCTGATTTTTGTACTTAATTTGATTTTCATATTTCTATATTTTTAATTGCCATCAAGTGCAATTCGCAACTGGTTTAGGAGGGTGAAAATATCCTTAACCAACTGGCTGGGAGGGACAAAGCAACCCTGCAAGGCCCAGAGCCTTTTTGTGGATTAATGAAAAGCCACGTCTCGGAAGAAATGAACAGATGGGGAAAAAAAATGAATGCTAGCTCATTAGGGATCCATTCTGGGTCTGAGACAGGCAAAAATGATATATCCATCTCAGCAAAGAGATCTGAGCAACTATTTGACATTCAGTCGTTGGTCTGCTCACTGGGAATTTCCTGGTGAAATATCACCTAAAAATAATAGGCAAATTAGACAACGACCGTCGACCAGTGCAGATCTTGCAAACAACCAACAGAAACTACAGAACATTTAATCTGTGAATGCCCTGCTGACACAAAATATATGGGAAGGTAGCAGTGCTTGAGCGGCTGGAACCTGTAACGACTCCAAATGCAATTTACGATCTACTAGCCAAGTAATAGAGAAAATATATTTTTATTGTCATTATTATGAAGAAAAAAAAACACCCTGTATAGGTTTGGGGACCACAAAGTGAAATTATTATAGGTAAATAGGTTGACTTGCCAAATAATCAAAAATTTAACTTAATAGAAATTGTAAAAGTGTCATAACAAGCAACTAAAAATAAATTTGGATTTGCATTTATTTATAATGTATCAATTTCCGTTTGTTAGTTGGTGGATTTGAGATAAAAAAATAAAACCAGATCATTTTTATTTTTTCACAATTGATCTGGCAATTGTGGGTCCAATCATTTTAGTACGATGTGGGAGGCATTCGCCTAACCGAAATAGTTTTAGTATAATCGCCAACATTAGCAACTAAAAATAGCTACAAGGGCTTATACGCAGTCAAAACTAAGATAAAATTAAAATTAAACTTGCACTTGATTCAAATTTAGAGTCTTTTGATGTACTATTTATGGACTGGGAGAATTCTTGCAGGGTTAACCGCATCACTGCAACACGTTTTATAATTAGATTTTACAAGATTAAATTATTCAATTTATTAACATCGCTGATTTTCTGGTTTCTGTATTTCTTTTTTGTTTTGAAAATAATCCTGGTGCGCATCCACTTTTTGAATAATTTGGACATTTGGACATTTTCTGGTATCGCCAAAAGTAGACGAAATTCTCAAATTTCGCTTCCATGAGTAACTAGATTCAGCCTCTAATGGTAGGTACTGGACTACTGGTTTAGTTTTAAATTGACGTTAAGTTTTTTTAAATTAAAATAATGGTAAATTTGGGAGAAATACCATGAATAAATATTTAAAGTTGAATAAAAAACTAAATAAAACAAAAACGAAAAAAACAATTAAAAATCGAAATCAAAAAATCTCAACTATAGGTGACAGTAGGTAAGCTAAATAATTACTTTTCAGGAGCCAAATAAGTAGCTGAAATTCTGCTAGGGCATACGGCCCAACTCAATAGGAAATAGGCTTTAATCTCTCAGACGAGTCGGACGCATTTAGCTAAAAAAAGTAGCTACCCATTTGAATTTTTTTTTTCCAAAACCCCTGAAGCAATTGCTTTGATATAAATGTATTACTAAAGAATGCTGACGAAATATGCGTTGCGCCTCCTATAAGGCAATTCAAACTAAAAATATATAAAAAATTCAATAATGTATTTTCATAGAATAGGTATGTTTAGTAAAACACACTCATCATGTGATTCTCGAAATAGATGTGCAAATCTCAAAAAAAAAATGTAATGTGTTGAAAAATCTATTTATAAAAAATATATCTCACATGTTTAGAAGAAATAAGTTATCCCAGTTGATACATATCTTGTATTTTATTTAGAAGCTACAATACATCTTTATCAATAAGTATATATTAATAACTAATTTTTATCGGAATCAATGGTTGAAAATTAGTTACTGATGTTTTAATTGAAAACCTTGAATTCTTTGTCAACGGTCAAGACCGTTAATATTATTTTTATAGTTGTATATCTGCTAGATATAGGATGTTCGCATTGAAAATTATTGCATGCGGTGATCAAATATTTTATGTAATAATAATTGTAGAACAATTTTTAGTACTAGGTACACCTACTACAGCTAAAATTAAAATATCAATATTATTCTCATTATTACGGTAGGTCAAGTTCAAGATTGGCGCTATTTGCTTAAATAGATTGTACTATAACCAATTTAGTAGATATCGTTTTTAGCTTACATAAATGATTATTATTAGTAGGTACCTATGAAGTACGGACCCTACCCATAAATTAATACAAGATGAATTTTTGAACTAAAATAAACAACAATTTTAGAACAGTTTTTTGATCTTGCATTAAAAAAACATTGACGAATTTTGGAAAAAAAAAATAGGTAAAAAAACCTTTTTCTGCAAAATTAAATTGACTAACCGATAAAATTCATTACAGTCCATAGCCAAAGAAAAAGTTGTGTTCCCTCAATACTTTTACAGTATACCGGTATGTGAAGAAAGGTATTTAAAGAAGTTCTAAAGCCGGTGCCGGTATAAACATAAAACTTATCAATGGGTACGACAAGGTCAAAAAGTCACCAAGCAAGGTGACATAAAAATGCAACAATATGTCTAGAAAAAAGAAATTGTGGAATGTAGCCTTACGTACCTCCCATGTTAAAAGGTTAAATACACCACACTATCTATCTATACTCTGTCCTGCTACACTCAGCTCAGGACCCACACTTAGAATGCAAACGAAAACGCAGGAAAATAGCAGCAAAATTCGAGTTTTGCTTTAGTACGCAGGAACAGGCAACGATGTTTCAATTCCGGCATCCACGCTGCCTGCTATGCTTGCAGGGATGGATTCCGAATTTTGGCAGACGAAAATATCCATAGTTTTGTAGTATTGCAGTATTCATTCATCCACTTTCTTCACGCTGACTAGCAGTAAACTTCGCTAGCAGTGAACACGAAAATTATTAAATCAATCGAGATTCTCAACTGAATTTCTGTTTGAATGCGCGTTGTTATCTAAACGACACACTAGCTCTTGTAAGTATTTATCGCTCAGCAAACAACATTATCGAGAATAATTCCAATAAGTTCATAAACATTTTCAACTCGGAATTATTTCAATACCCACTTTGTAATTTGCGGTGACTTAATCATCGACTTTTTTGTCAGTTCTAGTAGCTAGTAGCCAAAAGATAAAGCCCAAATAACTATAAGTTTATGTGTAAATCATATACAGGGTTTTCATTTTAATTACCGCTCCTATTATCTCGGATTTGAAAAATTTTCGAAAAAATTCCCAGAACACGTCAACTATAATTTGACTCCCTAGAAAATCTTAAATGAGAAAGGGGGTCAAGTGATTTTGAGGGTTTTTAATTCCATACATTTTGGTACTAAGTTCTAATCCTTTTAGTATAGTGACTTGTCGCCGAAAAATAGCTTGATACTTCGGTTTTTGAGTAAAAGCAAATCCTTTTCACAAGTGAAAGAACATGTCAGAATTAGTAGATTTTTGAACAGACCCACCTCAAAAAGTCATGCCGACCCCCCCTCCACCCCCCTCAAACTTGATAAGTGGATTGGTTTAGTTATTATTTTTCTCAAAAACGGTAAAAGATAGAAATGTCATTTTGGTGCCATTCGATAGGGCACAAAATTCTGCATAATGACTATGACCTTATTTTTGTTCATGTTTGCAAGGTAAGGCCCCACGTGAACAAACATGTGGTGGGGGGCAATCACAAAGACACGTGTTGATCAATATCACTAAAACCGCTCGAAAACAGAAAAAAAAATAGAAGATACAAGAAATTAAGAATAAAGTTTTCTCTATCGATTGATATATAATGTTTTTCCGTATCTTTCAAAATAAGGCCACCAGTGGCGTACAAAAAAGTAGTGGAGTAAGAGGGATGATTAAAAATAAATATTTTTGGTTAGGTATATCCTTTTAAACTAATTTATTTATTTTTTATCACGCATGCATCATAATCAACGATTATCGCACGCTACAGCGTGCATAAAATGATGTTTATGATGCGCCCACCTTTTCAAAGGCTTACTATAGAAACGTTTGATCTACCTTTATCACCTAGATATTTACCTGCTGCTGTTTATATTACTATTTATCAAAATAAATGAACACATTTGAAATATTTTTGAGATTATCATGCATTTGTAATAAAAAATAACGTATGATATGCGTGTATAAGAGCATTAATTTAAGGCCCTTGCGACAAACACTCCGCTGCGCGTCGTGTTTTGCAATATGTCGCGCGTGCTTTAAAGGTCCTCTTATATACACTTATATCATAATATACTATTATTGTATTTATATGCAGGTAAACAACATTTTGAAAAAATCAGTAGCATATTAGAAAATAAAAGTAAATACCTTAAGTGTATTTTTTTCCAAGATGGAGATACAGTTTTACAATACATGTCGTGCGAATGACATGTTGCGACCAATAAGCGGCATTGTTTATGTTCCAAAGTTGACAGTATCAAAATCTATCTTGGGAAAAAATACAGTGTAAGTAAATTTTTTAACAATTTTAACAACTCAAAACGTCTTCACAGAAAAGCTAGTGTAACCTCTTACGTGTTTACACCTTAAATTTCAATATTCTGCACACAAGCACAGCCTAATGCATTTAAAAATTTTCAAAAAGAATTTGCATTTTGGGCCACAAGTTTTGCATTTACATTTTAATAAAATGTCGGATGATATTTTTTCATTTTTCGTAGTGTTTCATAGTGGCATCCATTTATTGTTTTCAAGAGTCCATCCCCATTCAGATGGGGTACCATGATTGGCACAGATTACCCCAAAAAAATCCTGATTGAACAATACATCGCTTGATATGCTGTTTTACAGAATATTTTGTGGGAATATCCTTAAATTTTTGTGTGACAGATGTGTGAAATTCATTACTTTTTTTCAGTGATCTATTGTTGGGGGTAAATTCTTAACAGTTCAGTTTTTTTCAGCAAAAAGTTGCATTCGACAAACGTCAATATCGTTGCTTTCAGAATGTTTATCGTTCATTAATTTTATTTTTATTAGCAACTTCCATCTTTCATACAAGAAATATACCCTAGGTCCCTAAATCCGTATGGATTGAGTTTAGCACTGGTAGGATTCTTGCGGAGGTTATACCTACATTCATTGGTTAAGTGCTCCATCCAATAGAACTTACATCAGAAGAATTCAATTTAAAAATTCGTTATCATAATGTACGAATATTTTGAAACCAACGATATTGATGTTTGTCAAATGCACCTTTTTGCTCAAAAAAACCGTACCGTTGAGAATTTACTCCCAACAATAAATGCGTTGAAACAGCATATCATGCGATGTATTTTTCAAGCAGGGGTAATTTGTGCCAACTATGGTAGAACTTCCATGCCCATCTAAATGGGAATGGACTCTTGAAAACAATAAATGGGCGCCACTATGGAACACTACGAAAAATGAAAAAATATCATCCGACATTTTATTGAAATTTAAATGCAAAACTTGTGGCCCAAAACGTAAATGCTTTTTGAAAAATTTAAAATGCACTAGACTGTGCTTGTGTGCAGAATATTGCAATTTAACGTGTAAACACGTAAGAGATTACACTAGCTTTTCTGTGAAGACGTTTTGAGTTGTTAAAATTGTTAAAAAATTTACTTACACTGTATTTTTTCCTAAGATAGATTTGGACACTGTCAACTTTGAAACATAAACAATGCCGCTTATTGGTCGCAACATGCCATTCGCACGACATGCATTGTAAAACTGTATCTTGGAAAAAAATACACTTTAGGTATTTACTTTTATCATCTTCTAATACGCTCCTGATTTTTCCAAAATGTTGTTTACCTGTATATAAATACAATAAAATAAATAAATTAGTTTAAAAGGATATAACCAAAAATATTTATTTTTAATCATTCCTCTCACTCCACTACTTTTTTGTTCGCCACTGGTGGCTTTATTTTGAAAGATAAGAAAACACGTTATGTATCAATCGATAGAAAAAACTTTATTCTTAAATTTTTGTATCTTCTATTTTTTTTTGTTTTCAAGCGGTTTTAATGATATTGATCAACACGTGTCTTTGTGATTACCCCCACCATATTTTTATGCACATGGAGCCTTACTTTGAAAACATAAACAAAAATAAGGTCATAGTCATTATGCAGAATTTTGTGCTCTATCGAATGGCACCATAATGACGTTTCTATCTTTTACCGTTTTTGAGAAAAATAATAATAACTTAAACAATCCACTTATCAAGTTTGAGGGGGGTGGAGGGGGGGTCGGCAAGACTTTTTGAGGTGGGTCTGTTCAAAAATCTACTAATTCTGACATGTTCTTTCACTTGTGAAAAGGATTTCATTTTACTCAAAAACCGTAGTATGAAACCCTCAAGTCAATAGGCTATTTCGAGGGCTATTTCAACTGTTTTGGAAATATTGACAGTTGAAAATTAACTTTTTTGCTACTTTGACAGTCTGTAAAACCAAAACGGTTAATTTTCAGAGAAAACCGATCTTCAAATTCTTATCTTAGATTTTCATAAACTATCATTTGACATCAACTTTGAATTTAACCGGAGATTAAATTTTTGACCGGAATTTCTGATCGTGGATTAAATTCAAAGTTGTTGTCAAATTATAATTTATAAAAATCTAAGATAAAAATGTCAGATCGCTTTTCCTCTGAAATTAACCGTTTAGGTTTTACAGCCTGTCAAAGTTGCAAAAAAGTCAATGTTCAACTGTCAATATTTCCAAAACAGTTGAACTTAGGGATTAAAGTTTAGTACCAGAATGTATGGAATTGAAAACCCTCCAAAATGATGTATCACTTGACCCCTCTTCCCATTTAAGATTTTTCAGGGGGTGGCTCTGGGGGCTTGGGGGTTGAAAGGGGAGAGGTGAATTTTACATATAAACTCATCCCCCTTCAAATTATAGTTGACGTGTTTCAGGGATTTTTTCGAAAATTTTCAACTCCAAGATAATAGGGGTGGTAAGTTTTAAAATGAAATGAATGAAATGAACTGTATATCTCCAAGAATAAAAACTTCTCAGCGGAATTCTACCGTATGCGGTGCGGTGGTATTATAGAACTGATTTTAAGCCATTCAAACAATTTTAAAGATATAGATCTTTTAGACCCACTCACCTGGCCTCTGCTGGTACTATTTCTACTACACCTATAGTAAATTATAAATTTTATATTCCTACTAAAAATCTGTTAGAGGTATATTTCTGCAAAAATCATAAATCATTAAAAACAATTAAAATTAATAAAAACCATTTGACAATCCAGTTCCAATGCTATCTAAATCAGGCCCTGGTTTGTGATATGTGCCGATATCAAAGTTATAGAGAGAAAAAGATGAGGGGCTAAATTGAACGTCAGCCTCCCCAAAATTTTAGAAACCGGATCGAACAGAAATGGATTCGTATTTATTCCGAAGTGTGCCGAACTGTGCTGTACCAGGTTTTTCTCGAAATTTCCATTTTCTGCCATTTTATGATAAAACCCTGATGCCCAAAATTTTCGAAAGTATTGTTTGTTTCTCAGAGATTACGTTTTGAGTACACGCTGAAATTTAAAAAAATTTCTGAAGCCGTTCCTGTTTTTATTTTTTTTCTTCCTGCCTTCGGGCTTCCTCTTCTTGTCTTTCTTCTGATCTCCGATCTTGTTGCGAGCTGGCTTTGTCTGTTTTGTCTTCGGTTTTTTTTTTTTCTTGTTTTTTTTTGCCTCCGCCGGTCTTCTTCATATTCTTCTTCTTCTTCTTCTTTTTCTTCTTCTTCTGCTTTTTATCTGGTATTTG